TTAACTTCAGAAGCTGTTCAACGCAAAGCCAATCTCCAACACTGATTCGTGCAACCAATGGCAACATCAACACCATATCCACCGGTCCCACTGGCTTTGGCAATGTGCTTTTCAACGATTTTGACTGCTGCACTGGTGTGTGCTCTATCCTAGCTAGGGTCAATACATTGCCTTTTTGTAGTTATTGTTGTTGCTAATCGTCCTTTTTCGCTGTAGCCACTGTATTCAACACTGAACGCTCATAATTTTGTTGTTCATGCGAATTAAAAAGTCTGTACACTTTTTTGCACACACACAATTTCACGGAGCGTCACTTGTTTCCTTTTCAATTACAGTTTACTCCGACTTTGTGCGTTAATTTAGTGTGAAACGCTTTCATTATTCACGAGCATTCGACGTTTAGTCAGAGCATTGTTGAAAATATTAAAGTTGTTGGCGAAAATCCAAATTCAATGTTATTAAACGCGTGCAAATTGGTTTCTCGCCGGCCGATTAAAGCAAATAAATGCTCGTAAAATCAGGAATAACCTCTTATTATTAAATATTTCTGCTTTATAGTTCTCATATCCTTTTTCGAAGTCGTGCCATATTATTGAAATTTAAGATAATATTGCTAGTGAAAAAGGTATTTTCGTATTTCTAATGAAACTTCTCCTTATTTTTTTACATTTATAATAATAAATAAATAAACAAATAATATTTCAGCTTAAATGAAGTTTAAAATCTCACCTTTCCAACCATATATGGTATGACATAACGTGATTGATAAAATACGAAAAGACTTTTTCGACTTTCCTTTTCATAGATATTTTTTATATAAAAACGGTTTTTAATTTTTCTTAGGGGCACATTGGGACTGATCATCGCTGGTGTGGCGATACTCTGGTGCGCTATGTCCGCTTCGAAACTATTTGTGACGGCCTACTCCATGGACCATCAACAAGTGCTGATTGCGTATCCGTGTGCGCTCCTGTATGGCGTCTTTGCTTTGATTACGATTTTTTAAAATATACAAAACTATGAAATCTAACATAATATAATAGTGGCCTAATAACCTCAATATAAGAACCTATATTAATAACACAATATTAGTGGCTTTAGCAAAAATTGGCGAGATAATAAGTAGGATATGCCGAACGAAAAAAGAATTTGGAAATTTAAGCGCGAAATACTACATACATATATTATTACTAAATTCATATTTTCTAATAAAAGGAAACTGAAAAAATTCAATTGCAGCTCATAAAATAATATATATAAACGTATATCCAACATGGCAGTTGTCTAAAGAATCACAGGTATGTTTAATATTTATTTTTATATTATTTAAATTTATTTCATTTTTTTGTAATTTTATGGAGGGGGCGGGTATTCTAGTCTAGAAATAAAATCGATTATATTTTCAAAGCTCAACTAATCAAAAATAATATATGTATGTCTACAAGAGAATTTTTCAAGTTATTTTCAGAGATATATACATTATGTAGGTAGTTTGCTGTCTCGGCATCCAAACTGGCTCGCCCGGAACTGAATTTTTTCCATATCCACAATTTCTCAGGTAGAAGTTCAGTAGAACCAATTTACATGGAATTTTTAAAGACTATTCTTTATTGTTTATGTCTGGATTCTCAATTTTATTAAAAAAAACTCGACAAAAAGTGGTAAAAAATAGTTGTTGTATTTGAAAATTTACTTACTTTTAAAAAAATCGATACAGTCAAAAAATTGTTACAAAAATTGTGATTTCATTTGTTTTCAGACTGTTGCCATTTCGTGAGAAATTTTTTTTAACTCATTCCGAGTTCCAGACATTGCGATATTATTTTTGATATATATTTTTTTTATTTTAGTTGCTAGAAGTTGAAAAAGTGGGTATGGTCAGGCATTATTTTTGATTAACATTTATTGCCAGAAGGACTGAAATCGTGGGCCACTAGCCAATTTTTTGAGATCCGCACTTGACCAACTGCTACTTTTTTAAACTTTTAAACATTTTTTTGATAAACATTTTTTTTATATTTATTTTATTTTTTTATATTTTTTTATTTTTATTTTATTTTAATTTAATTTTTTTTTTTTTTAATATTATCTTTTTTTTATTTATTTAACCTTTTTGTTTCTTTTTTCTTAAATTCTTGTAATGTTGAAAATAACCAACACAAAAAAGTTAGTAAAAAACTGATTCCATTATTAAGATACTTCAAAAATTACCAGAAATGTATGCCTCTAGACTGGAATACCTCATCGAATGTTGTTATTAAAAACTCTCAGTTGGTTTACTGATCAATCCTGAACTCAACTGTAATTCTAGTACTCATTAGGCAATTGCTTTTGCTAATATGCTCAGAATTAAAAGCTAGCCGAACGATAAATGCTGTTTCTAAAAATGAAATGTATTCATATTCTGTCATAATTCTCAGTACGCTCAATTATTTAGGAAATTGTTTGCAACTCAAAAATATAAATTTCCCCCGATATCCTTTAAATTTGATGTTTTGTCGTTAATTGAGGCGCAAAAAGTGTAACCAGTGAGCTCGAAATTATTAAAAAGAAAAAAAAAAAATAGAGAGAGAAGATCGCCCAACCAAACACAATAATTAATGGCATTCATATTATAATTTTTTATTTATTATTTTATTTATAATGACATTTTTTGTATGTTGAGAGTTATTTCGATAATTTCTGATATCTCATGCTGCCTTCGATTTTATGCCTAAAATGAGATTTTATGTCTGTAAATGTTCAGATTTTGGTATCTTAACGGAAACGGTAATAATTTGTTGGCATTACTTCGTTCGGGTATTGGCTCGATATTAGGTCAATCCTACGAGTACCTTCTAGGCAGTGAGTACATTTTTTGTGTGGTGTATTTGTATGCGATCGCCTATGTATGTATGCCATATATGCCGTTATGCTAACTTGGTTTGCTCACTTCAATTATTCGAAACGTTTATTTTTGTTTTCGTCCGTTGCTTTCGCTTTTTGCGATTCGTTCAATTGGAAATGTTGGTTAATTGAGTTTTTTGCCATCGAGCTTTTTGCTTTTGTTTTACTTTTGCATTATACATTTTTTTTTGATAGAGCATAAAGGTAGCTAACTTTTTCTTTGTTTGTTTTTGACTGTCATTTGTTTGAATTTTTTACTTTTGTTGATTTTTATCACTGCTTCTGCCGTTTTTGCTTTCTATATGGCCGTTAAGGTTTTTAAATTGTATTTGGTTTTTTAATTTTTTTAGTGAAAATTCAGGACATTTTAGTGCCGAATCAATGAACGTTTACGCACACACACATCCATGCGCAGTCATACATTCGCAGTTGAAATTGAATTTATTAAATTTGATGGGCATATCGAAAATATTACAGCTTTAAGAGCGTTGCTCTGAATTTATGCAGACAATTTTTATTATGTTGATGTGGTCATTAAATAAGGCATGTAATTGGTGCTTGAAGTCTGTTGGATGTTTTTGGTGACATTTCTTCTACAGTCCACACTAAGGGGTTAGTTGGGTTTTGTCGAGCAAAAAACGACATATTTTCCGTAATTTTTTTTCATATAAAAAATGAAGTATGTTTTCAAACTTTTTGTTATTATAAAGATACATATTTTAGATAGATTTTGTGAATAATAAATAAAAATATTTCAATTTCGGCCATTATAACCTTATTTCCGGCAGTCCCTCGGCAAAAAAGTGCCTCCGCGTTGACAACAAAACTTCGTACAGAATCATCAAAAGTGAAAAGAAAAATAGATGCTTTAGTTAAGAGCATAAACTGTGCTCGTTCACTCCTTATACGACCGCGATTATCGCCAAAGTACAGAGCCGCAGCAATATCCTCAATGGACATGGACAAAGAAAGGTTGCTAGCAACTTACAAGGCAATCGGCCGGCCAGTCCTAAACTACGCCGCACCAATATGGTCGCCTGGATGCAGGTGTGGAGCCTGTCAGAAAATTGCACTTTTTGTCCCAGTTAAGGAGCATAATGAACTCATGCTTGCAGTCACCTACTTGAAGTGAAAGCGCCTCCTAAGAACATCAAGAGGTGATTCCCCAACTACTTCGATGACATTAGCCATTTCGCCGACCAGACTTCGGACGTAACTCCCTTCCGAACTTATCGACTCCCCTGCAATGAGTCTCCGCATGACACTGGCCAACTCTTTGCATGCCCCACCAACCCCACTCATCTGACTCCCCTCTCCCTTTGGTCCGACCCCGTCGAAACAGCACGTGTTTAGAGCCTTCCGTTGGATGGCGTCGACGACAACTTAATTAATCCTTGCTATCCTAACGGAGATTGGGCATCCACTTTTTTAACTGGTTACAATTTAATAAAATACTTCTCTTTAAGTGACGATGTAGTATAGTTGGCTCCGAACGTGCAACTTTTCAAGGCTCCAAAATTATTACTCGGCCCAACCTGAGAATTCAGGACAATATTCTAAAGATGTTATAAGATAAAATAAGAAAAAAAAAATTGTTTTTTTTTTGAAGTCGTTGAACCCATTTACCCCTTTTAAGTAATTCGACAATAGGTTCAGGAGGCTAAAAATTTTAATCTACCTCCGAACCACTGCTATTCAGTATGTAAAGCTTTTTTATGGCGCACCACACTCGTAGGTCTTTAGAGTGAAATCGCTATCAGAAAATAATGGTTTAATGATTTTTTTTTGTAAACTCAGAACTCCAAGTGCTGCTCTTATCATTACTTCGTCCGCCACATACATAAATTAACACCTTGTTTTCAGTAATACTTAAGCTTTCTTGCGGTACAACTTTAATGCAGCCTTATTCGCTTGCATTTCTGCTCCGCGAATATTCACTCAAATGAAAGGTGAATGAACGCAATTTTCCAAGCGACGCTTTCCAACGCGCTCTCAGTCTTATGTTGTTCTTGAGAGGCCAGAAAGCCCTCGCTGGGCAGAAAATAAAAGTGATAAGGCTTCATGGATGTTTAAGATAATGTGTTATTTATACTCGTGACACAAGTAAACAACACTTGGAGAAAGCACATTTTAGTTGTAAAGTGCAAGACTAAGAACTCATATCAACTCGTTTGAGCTAGTGGCTAGTTTGCCCGCAACTGTAAGTGTAAACACATCGGTTTTGTAAAATATTGTACAAAAGTGCTAGAAACACATTAAAACGCAGAACAAAACAGTTTTTAGCACAGAAAGTGAAACTTGTGTTGCAAATATGACGAATGCTGATCTACAACGCGAACGAGCGGGTGCAACTATTTCGAGTGAAGACTTTGCGGAGTGGTGGGCAGGCGGCGGTGTTGCACTGCGCGAACGCAGAGCTTTAGATAAGCTTTTCATGGAAGATGCAGACTTGACGGACCCCCAGCACACGTCGCTGATGTCGCATAAAGAGCTTTATGAGTACACAATTGCGAAAGCTTGCAAATTTCTTAGCAAACTGCGCCACTGGCACGCAGCCAATGCGGACAGCAAAGTCGATGCACAGCAGAGCGCGATTGTAACGCTATACGATTTTCGAATGCTGCTGGCCGGCCCACTGGGTACGGCGTTGTTTCAGCAAAACTTTCCGTTGCGCTTGCATTTTTCGATGTTCTTGCCGACATTGTTGGGCCAGAGTACGGAGGAGCAGCAGCGCGAATGGTTCGAACGCGCTTGGCGCATGGATGGCATTATCGGCACATATGCGCAAACGGAGCTGGGCCATGGCACTTTTATACGCGGCCTAGAGACACGCGCCGATTACGATGCACAAAGCGAAGAATTCATTTTGAATACACCAACGCTAACGGCGTACAAATGGTGGCCCGGTGGTATGGGTCACAGCGCCAACATGGTGATTGTCATGGCGCAATTGTATATAAAAGGGAAACACCATGGGTTGCATCCATTTTTGGTGCGCATACGTAATGCGGAGACGCATCTGCCGGAGCCGGGTGTAGATGTGGGCGAGATCGGACCGAAGTTGGGCGTGAATGGTGTGAATAATGGTTTTCTGGGGTTGAAGCACGTTCGCATACCGCGTACGCAAATGTTAATGAAAAATGCACAAGTGCGCCCTAATGGGAGCTTTGTGAAAGGGCCCGAACCATTGCTTACCTATGGTACCATGGTGTTTGTGCGTGTAATGATCATACGCGATGTTTCCTTCTGTTTGCTGCAAGCGGCCACGATAGCAACCAGGTGAACATTGTGAAGATAAGGCAAATCGCATATATTATTAAGTCGTTCTACCATTTATTTAATGTGCAGGTATTCGGCAGTACGACGTCAGAGTCCAATTGCAGCCGACCAACCCGAACCACAAATATTGGATCACACCACGCAACAGGCGAAGTTGTTTCCACAAATCGCAAAGGGTATATACTTCCGTATTGCGGCCGACGCTGTCTGGGTTATGTATCAGAATGTTGTGAAGGAATTGGATGCTGGTCAGCGTCGCAACTTGCCCGAGCTACATGCCTTGTCCTGCTGCCTCAAGGCATACTGCTCATCGGAGTCCGAGGAAGGCGTTGAAGTATTACGTAAAGCCTGCGGCGGTCACGGTTATTTGAGTTCGTCAAATTTCCAACAAATCTATGGAACCGTCACGGCCGCATGCACTTACGAAGGCGAAAATACGGTTTTATTGCTGCAAACTGCGCGCTTCCTCCTCAAACAATATGCGGAGGGCCTGAAACGGAAAGTACTGCCACACAGCGTCAGATATCTGCGTAATGCAACGCGTCCCAAATGGCGTAAAAATATTGAGCTGACAATGCTGACGGCGCTCTTGGAGTTTGCGGCTACAGAAAACATTCGTACGCTTTACGAGTATCAAAGAGAGCAGCGTAAACTTTTGAAGTTGGAACACTTGGTGGCCAATAAAACTGGCGTACGTTTGACACAAGTGGCCACGTTACATGCACGCGCATTCCTAGCACGCACCGCCTTGGAAGAGACCGAAAAGTTTTGTAAACAGCTGAAACCCGTTTTGGCGGGCGTTCTCAAACAGTTAGCGGAGTTGTTCGTTTTGGAATTGTGTTTGAGTAGTCTGGGTCACATTCTAGTGTCTTATTCGTTAAACCAGCGACAAGTCGATCAGCTGCGGGCTCGCTACGAACATTTGCTGGCGGACTTTCGTGTCAATGCCGTCACTGTGGTCGATGGTTTCGATTTCAACGATCGTGTGTTGGGCTCCACTTTAGGTTGCTTTGATGGACGTGTCTACGAGCGGCTCATGGCGGAGGCGCGCAAAAGTTCCTTGAATCAGGAGTCGGTTAACAGCACATTTTACACACACCTTAAACCGTTAATGCAGGGAAAGTTGTGAATACTTTTGGGGTTGTAATATTATAATAAATAATATTATAATAAAGTTTGGAATCTGAGGACATGTTATCCGGCTTTGTTGGTTCAAAGATTGCACAAGCCTTCACTTCAGGTGTCAATATCCAAATATTTTCCTCATTTGCCACAAAGAATATGGTTTTGGATTCGACTTCCTTTGCTTATACATATTGAAAAATTTTAATTTTTTTTGTTGTTGGTGTGCTTGTATGTGTGTATGTATACGCATTGCTTTGTGAATGCATAACTTTGTGTAAAAATATTAAATTTGTGAAATTTTTCACTTCCTCCGACAGCGCTTTTTTCGTGACTGTATTCGTGTGTGCGGGAAGTTTTTTGCTCCGTTATGCAAATAACCGTAATAATGAAATATAAATTTTCGCCTGCTAATTGCAGCTTGTAAAAAGTAACTTCAGTCAGCGCACATTGCCTCCCTCACTCCTCGCCATGAAGCCCCGCTCCCGCTCCCKCTCCCATTCCGCACGCTACCTTAACGTCCATTCCGCACGCTGCGACTACGTACATAGTGTTCCTGCGTCGCCTTGTCGTCACTAAACGAAACAGTCGGACGGTCGGTCAAACGCCTTGTTTGCGTATTTGTGTAATTAATAAAGGACCCGTTAGTGCGTTGCCATATTTTGTATTTTTTCGGTTGTTCACACAGTTTAACTTTTGTTTTGTTTCCCCTTTCGTAATTTTTATGCAAAAACTGGCTATTGCTGCTGAGTAAATAATGAAAATTAACGCATGTTCGCTCGCCACTCGCCACTCACCAAGCCGTCACTTCCGCTTAGCAAGGCGCACAAACACTCACCCACACACACACGTACATACCAACCTGTGCATATACACAGCTACATTCCGTTATGTGCAAAATAATAAATGTAACGAAAGCAATTTAAGCCGCAATCCTTTAATTGCCATCAGCGTTGTTGCTTTGTTGTTGGCCAAAGGACTCTTTCGTTAAAGCGAAATGAATTTTATGGCTTTTCCTCTTTTCCTCTTGCTAATTAGCTGATTTTCGCATTTTTAATATGAAAACGCACTAATTATGTGGGTTGAGCTGCTGTTTAGGTGAGTTTCGCTGTGTGGGTTGTTGTTGCATGTTGCAATTTGTTCTCTGTTGGCGTTGGTTGTTGCAACACTTTGGATTCTACATGGCGCGGATTAAAATACTCGCGGTTCGAAAAATGCTCAGCTGAATGGTTATTCGTTCATTTCTTTTCTCGCTTTTTGCAATTTCCGCCACAAAACTCTTCATTAGTGGAAGAAAAGCTTACAAGCCACATCTTATATGTAACCTTTCCTTTCAGTTGGACTAAATTAAAAATAGAACTTTGCTTCTTTGTTGTTGGCTTGCAATTTACATTTGGTTTTTTCCTCATTATTTAAATGTGAACTTATATACACTTATATGTTTTAATTAATAAAAGGTAATAAGAAAAGCTTAAGCTCGTTAAATGGAGCAACAATGCTCATTTCCAATAAAAAAATCCTAACCTTAATTTTAAAAATGTTCAAATGCTGGTTTTGGTTAATGGCATAAACCATTTCAATTCTTATAAAAAAAAACGAGGCGGATGGGTCTAATGATGAACCGCTGTTCAAGTATAAGAACACATCAACGAACTTCTTGAAACACAATCAACAAGGGTACACCACAAAAGAGACGTTAGTAACATTGTAGAGGTCCTCGTAGTTCAGCCGCACTTAATATCCCAACTTCAGAAAGTGGAGTCAGCGGATTACAGAGCATATACGTAGGATAGTAAGACGCTGGAACATTATCTATACGAATGTGCAGCATTCAACTGGAGAAGATGGCTTCCAATGCTCCAACTTAAGAGATATTGGGCAGTTGATGTACAAAATAATCCGTTTTTTTTACCAAATCCACCGAGTTGCCGGATAAGGCTTAACTGAATTACCGCCTAGGAGCACAATGGAACTAATGTTAGCCTAAGTGCAGTCGCCTATGGTCTGGTGCTCGCCCGTCTTCATTTTCGACCAGCGGACCGAGTAACCTCTAATCCAAAGTCGAAGCTCGTTTCGGAAGACGTAGATAAAAAAGAAAAAATGAAGAGCTTGACAAGCCGACAGGGGTATTGGTTGAAAAAGAGCATACTAAAATTATGGAGGCAACACTTCTCCAGTCTGATGAATGGCAGTGAAAGCATAACGCCGGGAGAAGGCCAACCCTGGGGAAACGTGTGATAGAACAAACGTTCCATTGCACGACCAGGAAGAAGTTCGAATAGCAATTAACCGTCTGAAGAACAACAAAGCGGCGGGGGGCTGATAGATTGCCAGCCAGACTATTCAAACACGGTGACAAAGAACTGATAAGGAGCATGCATCAGCTTCTTTGTAGAATATGGTCGGACGAAAGCATGCGCGACGATTGCATTTTAAGTGTGCTCAGCCCAATCCACAAAAAGGGACACCCCGCCGTCAACAAACTGATGGGACCCTATCAGTGAAAAGATACTACATAGGTGTACATCACCTCTTCGTCGATTTTAAAGCTGTTTTTAATAGCACGAAAAGGAGCTGCCTTTATGCCTCTAGGTCTGAATTTGGTATTCCCGTAAAACTAATCCGGCTGTACAGGATCGGAAAGGATCGGATCGCCAATTGAGAAGTAAAGTCTTCTCTGCACGTTGCCACTCATTATGTCCTGTCCTGCTATATGGTTCAGAGGCATGGACGATGACAACATTTTATGACTCGACGTTCTGAGTTTTATGGTCCTTTCCGCGGTGGCCAGGGCGAATATCGCATTTTGCGAAGATATACGATGACATTGACAAATTAAAAGACAGAGGTCTAGACTAGGTCTTGTAATCATGAACGAAAACACTCCAGCTCAGAAAGTATTCACTCCGATCGAAAGAGCAAGTGAAGACGGACCTGGTTTCGCTAGCAATTTCCAACTGGCGCCACATGCAAAAAGAAGAAACGACTAGCGTAAGCAGTGTCTACGCCAGTAAAGAAGAAGAAAGCATTTTTTGAGTTATAACTCTCTTCTAGAAAAATGGTGTTATTTACTTATTTATATACGCATTGTAAATGTATCCACTTAGTGCGAATTGTTAGTGGTTAAGCCAAAGAAGACTTGAGAGAATTGCAAAAATAGCTGCAATTACCAATTTGAAGTGCGGTTGATGAAAGTCGGCGACAGCCAAATTGAGAGGCTAATAAAAAAGGAATCAAATCTTTAACAAAACGATAAACTCACGTCGTTGAGACGCTCCGATTGCTGTTGTCTAATTGTTTAAGATTGTTACAGTTGTAATTGAATTGATAGCGACCCACAAGGCGAGCGAAACAAGGATTCAAGCAATAACAACTACGAATACCAGCGAAAATAGTCCAAATATACTACACACCCACACACATGATAGCGTCGGAGAGCGTGTGTGTGCACGCTTGAGTGCATTCCGTGAAAGGCGAAGAGCAGAGCAGTGGCCACATGAAGCAAAAGTGGTTAACAGAGATTTCGTCGAGTTCACTCATCCAATAAAGCAATGAAAGCAATGAAAGCACTGAATTATAAGGGAGGGAGGGAGTGTGCAGGAGAAGCAACAGAATTAAGAATTGTGCGTAAAAAAGAAACAAGTGATAATGATGTCCATAGCAGGGCGTACGAAACTTTTAAGTGAATTACGGAAACTCTGCCAGCGCGTGAGTGGAGGAGCGGTACAAGCGGGGCGGGTAAATGGCAGTTTATGGACAAGAGTGATTTTGCCAATCGCCAATAACTGCATGACCGAGCATCTGCGGATGTGTGTGTGAGTACACTAATTGGAAAACAAAAGCAACAACAATAAGAACGCGACATAAAGCATTGAAGGACGACGGCGTTGGGCGCGTCGGAAAAGTGGGTGGCAACGCCTGTAAGTATGCCAAGCCTTGCGATCAAATGAATTTTGTATGTAACGTGGCAATTGTTGTATTTGTTGACTACTTGATCCTTTAATTCCGCAACTAATTGCCAATCGCATTCGACACTTAACATGACTTCTTCGCCTTTGATGGTCAACAGTTCAACGTGGCCATCTAGATACACATACATAGATACGGCTATAAGTGGCTTTGTGTGCGGGCTGTGCGCTTGCACAATAGCCAGCGCGCTGCAAGAGCGCGGCGACGTCGGCGGGCTGGCCGTTGAGTTCACGACGGCAGAAAATCTTCAAATTTCGTTTAAATAAGTTGCTGATGTTTAGGGCGTGTGAGTGGGCGGCCATCTGTTAAACCCGGTCGTATGGCAAATCTGCCGGTTGTGTGCAGTAAGTTGCCTAAGAGCTTTGCTGCAGCAGCCCGGCCCTGCTACCCATCCATTGGCCTGTCAGCATTTGTTTTATTTATTTTAATTCTTTTTTCCTTTTCTTCATCCGCAGAAATTCAATTAAAAACCACCATAACTTTTCTGCCCCTGTGTACGTGTGTGTATGTGCGCACATTCTTGCGTTCGCATGTATGTGTGCTGGTGTTGGTGTTGGTGTTGGCGTGTTCGCTTGGATTTAATCAGCATCAGGAGTAAGGATTGTGCTAAACTACATTTAATACCCAGTAAAGTGCAAATATATGAATGTTTTCAACTGCACACGCACACACACACCCACCCAATACTTGCATACATACGTGCTTTGGTGTTGTTGCTGCCTGCAAGTGTGAGTGAGCTTGAATTAAATGGCTGTAAGTTCTTTGTCGACTACGATTGGGCGATAAGACAGCAGCTCTGCTATGCCGGAGGTCATTTTGCAATCATGTAACGGTAGCGGTAAGCCAACAAGGGCAACGGCAGCGGCCGAAGTAAAGTTGCAACATGTGGCGCCGCGGGGGCCTGGAGTGTAAGTTGAATGCAGTAATTTGGTTGGCAGTACTTTACGGATTAAATTAAATTGAAAATAAAAATTGATTTCCAAAAGAATCTGTTGCCAACTTATCGGCGTCAAGTGGTTTTATAGCGACGCTATCGACAAATGTGTTCATGTGTGTATGTGTATGTAAGTGTATGTATGGAAATTTAAAAGCGTTTGCTCCATGGCTAAATCAGTAAGCTTATTATGTTATATAATCAAAACTGTATGTAAGAAAATCCTTTTTGGCACTTTAATACTTTGCTATTCAA